TATGGCTTTGCTCTTTTTAATGACTATATATTTATTTTTCTCTCCTGATAAATAATTGTTTTATGATTATAGTTATTTAAGAAAGTCATAAAGCAATATGAATAAATATTTGTAATACAATACACAGGCAGCACTCTGTTTCCCAAATTTACTATAAATATCATATGAATAAGACAAAAAGGCTTAATTTTAGGGTTTTTTTTTTGCCTTATTTAGAAAGTCATTCAAGTTTCATCACACTTGGTAGGGCATGGTGGTGCATATCCATGATCTTGGCACAGAGGTAGGTGGATCACCATGAGTTTGATGCCAGCCTGGGTTACATAGGGAGTTTAAGACCAGCCTGAACTACATAGTGAGACCTTGTCTCAAAAAAAATGTTTCATGAAGTAGGAAAAAGGACAGTTGTAAATTGAAGTTCCTATGGAAGTAGATTTGTGATGGAAAGAGAAAATAGAAGCAATGAGACTGAATGAAATTACAAGGCTGATTTGAAAGGCTTTGGCTAACTCCTAGGAAAGGATCACTTCCATTCCAATCTTAGTGAATCATGCGTATATCATCCTAAATAGTCTCTATTCAACATCGAAATTTTAATTTTCTTTTTAAATCTTGAATTCTTAAATCTACTATTAGTTATTTGAGTAACATGTTGGAGGAAAACAGGAAAATTAATGTGAAATACGTTGAGGAATTTGAAAAAAAGGTCAAAATTATTTCCCCAGTTATATTTCTGTCCTTTTGTGTACAGAGATTTGCATAAGCTGCATTTCTTTTAAATTTTATGATGCAGTTTTAAAATGTCTGGTTTTAAATACTTCTCCTTTCCGTTATTTCTAATCTCATTTTTATTTTTGTTAACATTCCTAATGACATCAGAGAAGAGGAGAAAAAACAAAAGTGAAGCGAGGACAGAGGTTTGGGGAATCTCCGTAAAGCTTACTCTGTTTTTATCGGAGGGCAAGGTTAACATCAACAGCAATGAGTCATACCGACAGCACATACTCTTGAGGTGATGTGTTTCAAATGGTTACCTCTGTGGTTTTCCTCTCCAAATCATATAACCCCTGTCTAGTCATGAGTAAAACCTCACACAAGTCCCAAGAGAGGAGACTAACGACTAATGGTCAAAAGTGTCAAGGTCATCAAATATAAGAAAACTGTAAGAAATTGTCAAAACCAATAGGCTTCCAAGGGAACATGACTATTAAACAGAACATGTAATCCAAGATGAGATTCTGGAAAAGAAAAAAAGGATACTTGGAGGAAGTTGGGACATCTAAATGAAGGACTTTAATTAATATCAGTATATCAATATTGGTTCATTAATCGTGACAAATGTATCATATAAATATAAGAAGTTAATAATAGAGAAACCTGATTATAAGATGTATGGGGGGCTTCTCTACTATCCTTCCAATAATTCTACAAATGTGAAACTGCACTTGCATGTAAAACTTGTTTTTAAGAATATGTTGGGATTACTATATGCATAATGAGAAAGGAGTGGGGAAGGTGGACCAGCAGGAGGTACACCTTCTGCAAAAGCAAAGATATCCTTCAGTCTGCTGGTCTTCTCTCCCTCCATTTTGCTCTTGGGGGAACATAGGCCCAGTGTCCTCAGTACCCTACATTTACAAAATTAATTTTATTGGTACATTTTAGATATGCACAATGGTAATTTTCATCACAGAGGATTTGTACCTTTACACAATATATCTTGATTCTTCCTCCCTGTCCCCTTCCCTTAGACCCTACTTCCCATCATTATTTACAAAAGGTTATTTCCATTTTTTCCTTCTATTCTTTTTCCTTTCTTTCTTTCTCCTCCCCCCTCCCTAGTTCCTCTTCCCATTCGAACATTTTCTTTCGGTTTCACAAAATCTGTTATGTATTTTGTTCTTAGTTACACATTCGGCTTCTCAAACCAGAGAAACCTGATGTTAGCTATTCATTTGTCATAGAAGTTTGCAGGAATGTCTTCTTCTTCTTTTTTTATTTATTTAAAGAGAAAAAAGAAAGGAAATAAAAAACAAAGCAGTAACAGGGTACAAATAATACAGAATTTCAAGAAAAAATATACAGTAAGAAATCTTTAGTTAATAGGTTACACATTGTCATCTTAGAAACAGTTGTCCAAATTATAAAATTAAAGCATATAAAGTGGACATTCATACAGTGAGACTGCAAACAGTTCTGTTCAATGATCCAACAAAAGCTCAGTAATATGGTTTTCCATCCTACACACTCAAACATACATGCAGTTATATCCCTTAGACCACCTTCCTTTCCTCTCTTTTTTACATTAACAATTACACTTTTTGGTTTTTTTTTTACTCCCACAGTTTTTATTACTTTTTTGAAGAGAATAAAACCTAATGTGACTAAACAGAACAGAGTCAGTTAGAACAGAAGGATGGGCATAGTAAATGACGTAAAAATAGAATATCAGGGGATTAACAATGGTTACCATTGTGCCCCTTGCTATTTTTAAAAGAGTTGCCTATATCATCAGGCATAATAGAATTGATCAAAACAGTACAGTACAAGACCAATAAAACCTACACTGGAGACCTTATAGGACTTCAAAAGAAGATAATAGTCAAACCATAATGGGCATCATAGTAAGTCTTATTGCCTTCAAAGTGATTGCCTATACCCTCAAACTTGATACTATCAAACAAAATAGAATATAGTAGAACCAGACAGAATAAGTGGGGAGAGCAATACTGGTGTTCAAATCAGGTTAATAGGAAAACAAAAAAGTTACTATAATATATCCCGCTATTTTTTAATTTAGTTTTCCCTTAATTGAAAAAAAATAAGAAAAAAATAGATTAATTTTTAAAAAAAAGGGTGGAGATTGAGATAAAAGAGGACATTGTAACAGAACAATACAGGTCAGAACCGAACAATTTAAGCATCACTGTGTTTCACTCCCAGATAATCTAACTAATAGTATTCACCATAGTGCCTCTTTCCTTGAATTATTTGAGTATAACTTCGTATACTATAGCATCAAGCATATCAAGACAGTGTGAAGCCATTCAAGAGAATTAAAGAATTACAGGCTATTTAGAACCAGTTAACAGAAAACGAACAACAGTTTCTATATTATCTATTTGCCTACAAAAAATTTTGTTTATACTATGGCATATAGTAAGATACAACATGTTAAAACCAGTGGAAACTGATGTACAACAGCTTGATGGGACTTCAAAACAAGATGATATTAAATTGGCACTAGCTATAGCTATTTGTACTATCACTGATACTAAAATTGAACAACCCAGGTTAAAACCTTTGCAATTAATGAGTGAAAACATTACATGGCTTCAAACCAATATGATTGGGAATCATGATTACCACGTATTCTTATCATTTCTTACACTAGGGAAACTATTTGGTATTTATACAGGTGAGTTTGATTTATTTCACTTATGAGTATAGGCTCAAGCTGCATCCATTTATTTATAAATATCTCAACGTGATCATTCTTTATAGCTGAGCAGTACTCCATTGTATAAAAATACCACAACTTTTTTATCCATTCCTCAGTTAATGGACACTTAGGTTGTTTCCAAGATCTGGCTATTACAAATTGTGCTGCTATAAACAGGTGCACATATATCACTCTGATATGATGCGTTCAGTTCTTCTGGGAATATGCCTAAAAGTGGAATAGCTGGGTCAAATGGGGCTTCCAGTCCCAGCTTTCTGAGAAATCTCCAGACTGACCTCCACAATGGTTGTACTAGTCTACAATCCCACCAACAGTGCAGGAGAGTTCCTTTTTCCCCACAGCCTCTCCAGCATTTGTTGTTGGTGGTTTTCTTGATCTTGGCCATTCTTTCAGGAGTGAGATGAAATCTCAGTGTGGTTTTAATTTGCATTTCTCTATTGACCAGTGATTGTGAACATTTTTTCATGTATTTATTTGCCATTTGTATTTCTTCATCTGAAAATTGTTTATTCATCTCAGATGCCCATTTTTGGATTGGGTCTTTGAATTTTGGGGGTCTGATCTTTTAAAATTCTTTATATGTTTTAGACAGAAGTCCTTTGTCTGAGGGACAGTTCACTAAGGTTTTTTCCCAGTTTGTGGGTTTTCTTTTCACTATTCTGGAGATTTCAGGAATGTCTTCCAAATATAGGTGATTCTTTATAGCTCAGCCAAGAATCTGCCATCTCAATTTGTAAAGGCTGCAAAGCTACCATTTGATTCAGCACCTGGTCCTTTGGTACTGGCCTGTGGTGATAATTATGATCCCATACAATCACAGTGTTATCATACAAGGGAGAAAAGCTGATTATACCATGTGTGACATCTTGGGTAAAGCACTATAGTTAGTAATAACAATAGTTTTAAGTATATCTTAGCTACTGACAAACTATGGTAACTATTAACCTGATGCCTCTAACCACAGGAGTAATGTCTAAAGTTTTATAGAAAACTTAAACGTGTACCATGTACTTTTATGCAATGTTACACCCCTTAGTGGAGTGATTTTACCATGTTCTGTGGCTGGGGATGTTAAGATAGGTAGAGGATTAGATAAAGTGATGGAAGAAATTAAATATAATAGGTTCAAAGCGGAAGGTCAAAAAATGATCACCCAAATTTTAGGAAAACTAGAGGACACAGAAGAGAAAGAATGAAAAAGAATGTGAAGGACTAATCAGAAAGGAAAGAGACAATGTTTACTCACTTAAAAGTATAAATGTGAGAACTCATTGAGGAAAAAAGAAAGAGGATCAGTAGATGAAAACAAAAAGAAAAGTATGAAACTCAAAAAAAAGGAAAGAAGAAGGAAAAAAGAAGGAAGAAAGAGATGAAAAAAGAAAAAGCAAAAAAAAAGGAGACCAGAGAAAAAAGGAGAAACAAAACAAAAGAAAAATAACCACAAAAGACAAACCAAAACAAGATAAAAAAAAAAAACAACCAGATAGGAAAAAGATAGCAGTTAGACAAATAAGGTAAAATAAAAGTAATAAAATACCTCTGGCGTTCGCAGTTTTGTGATTGTGGTGTTCAAGTCAGATCCCAGAAATGCACTGTGTTCTCCAGCAGGTTTGCCGTGGGAATCGCGCTGGGTTTGGAGCTGAGCCTGGCTTCTAAATATGGGGCTGGCACTGGCCTTCTTTTGGGGGGGTCCTTCAGAGCCCAACTACTGGCTCCTCACTGCTCTTCAGACACTGCCATATTGCAGTCTCACTGATTACTCCGCCTGCCAAAGGCATGTGTGGGCTGCCAGGCCTGATTTCTTGGTGGTTGCTGATGGTGAAATAATTTAACCCTTAAAGATTAATGACAGACGGTGATAGGATCTGAATGTGTACTGGACAATTAGAACAGGAATTCTATTCCCCAGATATCTATCTTTTCACTTGCATTAGCTTAAAAATTTCAATTACTATACAAATTCTTTGGATTTTCTGTGATGTAATAGAGACTAACTTTCTGTAAATTGCAACTTCCCTTGTGTATGTCTTTCTGTAAGTATGGACCAAGTATTTAAGGAAAAGTATCATATATAAGAAAATTGATTCTATATTAAGACTCACACAGGTAGGTATCTATGTGATTTTCAGATCTTTCGCAATTCTGTTAGACTGTGAGCCCCATAGGAGTAGGGACCAGTTTGCTTTGTTCACTTCAGTGTCCTCACACCTACAGTGCCTGGCACACAGCACCTGCTCAATAAATACTGCTTAAGGAAGGAGTGAGAATCCAGGATGGGGGAATCAAGACAATTCACATTTTCAAAATTTCCAGTGGTGCTTCTTTTGTAGAGATTTCCTGAGCAAACACAACTGGCAAAACAAACATATACTTTCCAGCTATTCAGCATTGTACAGTGGGGATTCCAGCGCTGTTCCAGGTTCATCACTGTCTAGTTGGAGTAATGTTTTCCTAACTTTTCACACGTTTTTATTTTTAAATATAATGCACATAATAAAAACTTGAGCATCACTTCATAAATTGCTATAAGGCAAACACCTATATAATCATTACTCAAGTCAGCAAATAAAATAAATTACTATTCTGTAAAAGTCCTTTCCCCTTAAGCCTCTTCCCGGTCCTGAGTTTCTCTATCCACTGAAGACAATAAAATTCATACCACTTTTGTATTCAAATCCTTCTTTTTTGTTACTGTTTTCCATCTAAATATACATCCCAAAACACAATTGTTTTGTTCTAACAGACAGAATCATACTATTTATAAAATTTTGTGCCTGCAATCTTCTATTCAACCTATGTTTGAGCAATCCATCCTTGTTCCCGTAAATACTTTCAGTGTGCAAATTTTTTGCTGTTTATTATTCCATTGTATGAACAGGCTAATCTGAATTACTTTATTACAAGTAGAAGTGAGGTTGCATTTCCCAGTCTCTTCATGAGCAGAGGAAAATACATAAATTGTAGACACCTATGCAGACACAGACAGTATAGATAGATAGCATAGGAGTGCACTACAGAAAGCTAAGCTTTAAGAAACTGTACTCAGTAAACAAACTGAGTGTAGTTTGTCATTTTTCAGATGAAAATTTTATCTATATGTGCTACTCAAGTCTTTTATTCAGTCTCCTAGTTAATAAGAACTGTCTGCCCCTCACGCTTAAGATTATAAAGACCATGGAAATGTAGAGCCGAATAGTGTGGAGTGTGGGCTTCAGAATCAGGCTACCTTGGCTTGATCACTATCTCTCTCTCTCTCTCTCTCTCTCTCTCTCTTTTTTTTTTTTTTTTTGGTCTTTTTCCTTTTTATCGATACCAGGGATCAAACTCACGACTGACTGCTTGCAAGGCAGGCGCTTATGCCACTGAGCTAAATCCCCAGCCCCACTATCTCTTGCCTTTATTGTCTTTTTGTACTTTTTCAGAGATGGATTTCTTGTCTATAAAATGGAGATTTTAATAACATTCAGTAGGATCATTTCAATAATTAAAAAAAGATAATACCTAGAAAAGCATTTGATCAATACTGGGTACTTAACATGTTCCAGCTATGCCTTTAAGGGCCTCTAATATCTTTACATGTAATTAATTCATTTACTTTCCCTTGCTAGAGACCCACAAAGGAATTGTAGGAAAGGTTGAGGTAGAAACAACAAATACAATGACAGATCTGGGCTTTTAAGGTCAAAGGGATTCTATTCAAATTCTCCTGTGTATTTTAAAATAGCATGGAATAACCTTGAAAATGAACTGTGGAAGGTATTCAGAGGCACACTTGTGAGGGCTGCTATTTTTCAATGTCTTTGCTTTTCTAACAAGCAACGACTCATTGCGTGCATAAAATTGTTTCTTTCTCCAGTCATTTCCTCTGAACAAAGAAGTTTCATGAAGGCCAAGCTATCCTAGATTAAGAATTTTTAAAAAATTCTTGTTCTGGGAAGTCATACCTACAGATGTAAAGAAATTTATTAATGAGTAAATGAATCTGAGATGAAAATAATAAAATATGACATAAGATTTTAGTGATAATAATCATGATTCTTTGTATCATAACACAGGAACTGAAGTTCATGTGATACTACGATGTTTTCAGATAATCTTGGTTTTATCCCAATGGGCCCTCTTCCCTTTTCCTTTGTTTAATTAAAGGTCAGCACAGAAGGAGAATTGTGGGCCAGGGAAATGGCGATCTCTGCAGTAACTAGGGTGATCCCACACCCCTAATCTGCCTGAGAGTCTACAGCAGCACTGTCCAACAGGTTACCCAGCTGACACACGTGCTACTGAGCACTGGAGAAGTGACTGGTCTGAACTGAGACTGCCATGAGTGTACACTATATACCAGGTTTCAACAACTTGGTACAAAGCAATTAAAGTAAAATAGCTCATTAATGCTTTCTATTAATTACATGTTGAAGTGATATTTAGATATATTGAGTTAAATGCGTTTTTAAAATTAAATTCATGTTTCTTCTAAGTCTTTAAAGTGTGGCTTCTAGACAATTTAAAGCGGTATATACAACTTACATATTTCTGCTAACTGGATTGAACTGGAATAACAGAGTACTCAGGCAATCTGGAGATTTGAGGTTAATTTTCACAATTGTCAGATAGAGTGGGGGGGGTTAAAGCAAATTAAATTGAATTATTAAAATAAAATTTTGCTCCTCATATGTCTGAATTTTGGGGCTGATGTTTGTAACCGTTGTACATGCCTGGTTTCATTTAACCATCATTGCAGTCATAAAGAAGTTTTATCCATATTTTAAAGCTGGAGAAATTAAACACTTGAATAATTAGTGAAATAACCCAAAATTACATAGTCTGTTAGTGGCTTAAAACCAAGAAATCTGGCCTCTGAGCTTGTTTTTCAAACAGCATATCCTCCTGCTTCCCTAGAGTACAATGTTTGCTGTAAGATCAGGGCAGATGGCACAGTAGATGCACTCTTTTTTCTTCAGAAAACAAATGCAGTGTAAACTATCTGCCATGCTGACTTCCCAAGATGATTCAATGCATGTCCCCTTCCCTGAAATACAGAATAAAATGATTCAAATTCTATATCCAACTAGGTGTTTAGTTTGTAGTTTCTATTCTGGGAGAATAAACATAATTTACATATGGTAATATCATTGGTAATTTTATGTTTGTATAGTTCTCTAAAATGTACAAAATACTGTCAGATAAACAGTTTAATGAAAACTGGAGCCTGGGAAAATTCAGGTGAATTTCCAAGTTCAGCAACTCACAAAGCTTATGAGTCTCAGATTGCAGTCACTGTGCCACATTATATTCTCTAACAGGCCTTGCACAAAGTTAGCCAAATGAAGGCACGACTATGAGAGACAGAATCACACATGGAGACAGAGAAAGAGAGAGAGAGACAGAGAGAGAGAGAGAGAGAGAGAGAGAGAGAGAGAGAGAGAGAGAGATCTAAGATACTGACTAGACTAGAGAGAAACCAGCATGGAGAAGAGCAGATGGATTAGAGATAGCAGAACTTAGTGCCTGATAAAATGCTTATGATAGTTAATTTTGTATAAATTTGAGCAGGCTATGGAGTATCTAGATATTTGATTAAACATTTCTTTTTAGTGGATCTGTGAAAGTGTTTTTGAATGAGATTAGCATTTAAATTGGGAGGCTGAATAAAGACGCTCACACTCCCTAAAGAGAGTGAGCATCATAGAATCTACCCAGCGACCAAATAGTACATGCATGAAGTCCCTCTCTATATCTACCTGTCATCAATCTGGGACAACAGTCTCCTATAGTCAAGCTAAAACTTACAGCATCAGCGTCCCTATGTTTCAGACCCTTGAACTTGGACTGGAACAAAAGCACTGGTTCTCTGGAGATTCCTGACGAAAGCAATGGTGGAGCAAAGGGAGAGGAATGATAACTACCAACTTTATGTTTTGCACTTAGACATGTTGGGGGAGATCAGTCACTGATCAGTATTATAACTGCAAAGGTCAAAACTAAACAAAACATAACTTCCAGTTTTCAGATGATCAAAGTTTTCTATTCCCACTCTTTAAAACCAAGCACAAATTTATTAAAGATATATATATATATATATATATATATATATATATATATATATATGGAATGAATTTTGATATAAATAGCATATTTACTATACCAACTGAGAAAAGAATAAAAAATCATTACAAAACCCCAGAAAGGCTAATATTAGTAAGGGTGAGAGTATAAGACTGAAAGAAGATTACACAGATTTTATTCTTTCTCAATTATGCTAAGACTCCAGGGAATTTTAGATAGAGTGGTGATAACCACGTCTTTAAGTTTCTCCTTCCACATTCCATTTTTTAATTGCACACTTAACTTCACTTAAAAGATCAGATGCTGATGTTTTAAAGTGCGTGCGCACACACACACACACACAGTACAGCGTGTGCTACTCATACTGCTGAAAGGAACTGGGATAGCTCTTCAGTTTCTACAGGTCATTTTTTGGAGTTAGCTTTTCTCCCTTTTTTCTTCTGATAACAGTTTCCCTTGTTACCTTCCTTTTGAAGATTTCTCTGTTTGCCAAAAACTCCAACAAAAGTCGTAACAAAAATGAAATATTCAAAATGCCCATCAGCTGATTTTTAATAGGACTTCTGAGAAAGCAAAATCCATGGCATCCATACAAAATTCCAAGCATTTTGGTGACT